TTATTTTGTTGAAGTTAACTTATCAGTTAATGATTCTTCTTGGGTATTAGATACCGGTTGTGGCTCACATATTTGCAATAATTTGCAGATGATGGCAAGAAGTAACATGCTAGAACCTAAAGAAACAATCCTAAGGATGGACAATGGAGCAGGAGTTGCTGCCAAGGCAATTGGGAATGTTTATCTAGCATTTAATGATGGTGTAAATATTTGCCTTACAAACTGTTTGTATGTTCCGGACATTATAAGAAACATTATCTCTATTCCAGTTCTGGATAGAGAAGGTTTTAAGTTTGTAATTGAAAGTGGAAAGTGTTCTATTCTCAAAGATACGACTTTTATATATTCCGGAAATTTGACAAATGGATTATATACTATTACACCACAAAGTCCCATCCTAACCATTCAACAAAATAAAAGGAAATTAGATAATCATAGTTCATTCACAATTTGGCATGCTAGATTGGGTCATATATCTAAAAATAGGATTCACAAATTGGGATCAAAACTCGACCTTAGGGGCGAGGAAAGGTTGCCTACTTGTGAGTCATGTCTTAAAGGTAAAATGACAAAATCACCATTTGTTGGACAAGTGGAGCGAGCTAAAGGTCTGTTAGATTTAATCCATACAGATGTTTGTGGACCACTAAATATTAGTGTCAAGGGGAACTACCACTATTTCATAACCTTTACTGATGATTATTCACGGTATGGATATGTTTACCTATTGAGGTACAAATCTGAAGTATTTGAAAAGTTCAAAGAATTCAGAAATGAAGTGGAGAAACAAATTGGTCGTAGTATTAAAGTTCTTCGATCGGATCGAGGAGGTGAATACTTGACTATTGAGTTTCTTGATTATTTAAGAGATAATGGGATTATTTCATAATGGACACCTCCTGGAACTCCACAACTCAATGGGGTTTCAGAAAGGAGGAATCGAACATTGTTAGACATGGTTCGATCAATGATGAGTTCCACTAGTTTACCTCTTTCATTCTGGGGCTATGCCTTAGAAACAGCAGCACATATTTTGAATAGAGTGCCAAGTAAAGCTGTGCCTAACATACCTTATGAGATATGGTGTGGCAAAACACCCTCGTACAAGTATTTACGAGTATGGGGTTGTACTGCTTATGTGAAGCAGTTAGTGGGAGATAAGTTGGATATGAGATCCATCTTATGTAAGTTTGTGGGGTATCCAAAAAAGTCTATTGGATACTATTTCTATGATCCCTCTGAACAAAAGGTGTTTGTTTCGAGGAATGTTGTTTTCTTAGAGGAATAGTTTCTCTCAAAGAATAGCGGAGTTGTAGAACTTAATGAAGAACCACAAGAAGTTCCAGAAGTTACCACAAATATCATACCAGTAGAGACTGGACCATCTGAAACACAACCTCTTCGGAGATCCACAAGGGTTTTTAGGGCACCTGAGAGGCTGTCCTATTGTTAGAGAACAAAGAAGAGGGACTCCTTTTAGATAATGATCCAATAAGCTATAATGAGGCAATGTCGGACATTGACTCAGATAAATGGCAAGAAGCTATTCAATCCGAAATGGACTCCATGTATTCAAATAAGGTATGGACCTTGGTTAATCCACCACAGGGTATAGTACCCATAGGTTGTAAATGGGTTTACAAGCGAAAACGTGGTGTAGATGGAGAAGTTAATACTTTTAAAGTAAGACTGGTTGCTAAAGGTTATAATAAAAAACAAGGAGTTGATTATGAGGAAACTTTTTCACCAGTAGCAATGCTTAAATCCATTCGGATATTGCTTGATATAGCTGCGTATTATGACTACGAGATATGGTAAATGGATGTGAAAACTTCCTTTTTTAATGGAAACATTAAGGAACACATTTATATGAAACAACCGGAGGGTTTCATATCCAGTGGGAGCGAACAAATGGTTTGTAAACTTCAAAGGTCCATTTATGGACTTAAACAAGCTTCGAGGAGTTGGAACATTCGGTTTGATGAAACGATCAAAACGTTTGATTTTCACAAGAACTTGGATGAACCATGTGTTTACAAGAAGGTTAATGGGAATGCAGTTGCCTTTGTTGTACTCTATGTTGATGATATCTTACTCATTGGGAATGATGTAGGGATGTTGCAATCAACACGGACATGGTTGTCAAAACAATTATCCATGAAAGATTTGGGAGAAGCATCTTTTTGCCAAAAAAGGTACTAAAAAGGAGGTCCTTTTATACACTTTCCTATGGCCAAGCCTTGGGATAAAAATCTATAGAGATAGATTTAAAAGGATGATTGGACTATCCCAGTCAACGTACATAAATAAGGTGCTAAAACGGTTTAGCATGGAAGAATCCAAACGTGGATATATTCCAATGAGTCATGGGGTTTCACTTTCTAAGACGATGTCTCCAAAGACACCTGAAGAAAGAGAACGGATGAGTCATATACCTTATGCATCAGCTATTGGTAGCATTATGTATGTGATGTTATGTACAAGACCTGATGTGGCTTATGCACTTAGTGTAACGAGCAGATATCAGTATAATCCAGGTGAAGAACACTGGAAAGCGGTTAAGATGATACTTAAGTACTTAAGAAGGACTAAGGATATCTTTATGGTGTATGGAAATGGAGAACTGAAACTAGAAGGTTTTACTGACTCTGGTTTTTCAGTCGGATAAAGATGACTTTAAATCCATGTCTGGTTACTTGTTTACTCTGAATGGAGCAGCGGTTAGTTGGAAAAGTTCCAAACAAGAAAAAATTGCTGATTCCACAACAGAGGCTGAGTATATTGTTGCATCTGATGCTGCAAAGGAAGCAGTTTGTATAAGGAACTTCATCCAAGGGTTGGGTGTAGTACCATCTGTTGTTGATCCAATAATGATTTATTGTGATAACAATGGGGCTATTGCGCAAGCAAAGGAGCCAAGATCTCATCAAAGATCCAAGCACATAATGAGGCGATACCATTTGATTAGAGAAATCATTGGTAGAGGCGATGTCGTGATGGAGCGAGTCGACTCAGCAGAAAAATATTGCAGACCCCTTAACTAAGCCCTTATCACAGAAAGTG